CCCTCCAAACTCTAAGCATTTCCCATACCGCACTAAGAAATGGATCTGCCATATGCAAGACCATAGATTCCACAGTGCTGCCATCAACACGAACATTTGAATCTGCAAGAAAGTTTCCAGGATCGGAAAATACAAAAATAAACTGCCCTAAACTCATATAATATACTTATTTAAGAATTCCACAATTTTGGATTACAGCTGAAGCATAACAGAAGACATTTATACCTGGTTGTGCTTCACTAAATGGAGCCCAAAAAGGCCCAGGTCCAGCAAGAGGTCGTTCATTATTCCCTCCGCTGGGATGGCGGTTGTGCTTCCTCCATGTATGTGGAGAGGTTGGTGGGGATTGCTGTGGTGAAACAACTGGAGATGTGGACTCCTAATAAAACAAAGGAACCTTTTAAGTTTTTTACTAAATAACTAAATACATAAAAGCCTATCTAAAACCATTATTTCTAGGAACAACCATCACTGCAGTTAAAGTCTCATTTTAGAGTGTGAAAATTTTAGAACTTATTAAAATCAGGGAACAGGAGAAGTTGGGTACATATGACTGGGACTGGACACGTTCACTTCAAACAATGTAATCTAATATACTTTTAATTTGGCATTAAGAGAACAGCAATGCCAAGTTAAATGACTTTGCTACAAAGGAAACTAGATTAATAAGACTTTCACTTGTGATAAAAGTTACATTTGAACCCAGGTCTCAAAAGAAAAGATTACTTACTGTACAACTTATTATCATACCTAATTTTCATCAAGTGATTCACAATCAGTTACTTTCACTTAAAAAACAAACCAGAATTAAAAATTAAAAAAAAAAACCACTAGACAGGCCACATTATTTTTTTTTAATATGTAAAAACAGGTAATTTTTTCAAAGATGCCATCTAGGATATACTTCTTCACTGTACAAATTACAAGGTAATTTTGCCCTCACATTAAGGCTCAAGCTTCTCTTTAAACCCATCTATATTCTCCCTGAACAGGTAAGAAAACAGAATCACACATACAATTTCTACCTGGAATCAATTCTCATGAGACATTCAGATTACCAGATTATTCCATTTCAAATCAAATACAAAGGAAAAATAATTTATATTGTACCAAGTAAAATATGTATATAGTAGAAAGTAATTTCCTTCCCATACCTAGATCTTTTGAAATTCCTGTTTGCCATATCTCCCAATTTGAACTAATCTGTTAGTGAAAACAACTAAAACAAGAAAACAAAGCTTGAACTCTGAGTTTACTGAAAAGTAAAAACAAAGCTAAAAATCTCAAAGTCTGTTTCAGCAGTAGACAAAAAAAAGTTTGCTTCTTTATGTTAACAACTATCAAGTACCAATAGCCAGACTGACTATAGGCTCCCACACGATTCCCAAAACTGAACTGGTTTACTTTGCCAAATATTCAAAGGTCATTATGCTTTTTAATCAATATTACATCTGCAAATAAAAGTCAGGGAGAAAATGCCATAAACAAGCTTCTCTCCAAGCAAGGTACAGACTAAAACTACATGTATCCTAACAAAAAAGTTTTAGGGGCGTGGTGACCAGTAACTTTCTAATGTGTTGATGTAAACTTTCATCTTTTTTTTCCCCTCCAATTTTCATATTCCCTAGGATACAGGGCCAGCCTGGTTGATTCTGTAATTGAGGTATTTTCTGAAACTTCTGACCATTGAGTCAGATTTCCTTAAATAAGTTCCTAGGCCACAAGATTTTGAACTTTCCATTCAAAGCATTCAAGTGATGCCCATATGTATTGGCAAAGAGTACTATAAAGCAGCTGGGAGCAGTACTAATTCACTTCAATTTTTAATTCAGGGACCAGCTGACTGCACAGTCAAAATCACTGTTTTTCCAGTTCAAGACTTCTTGTTGCAATTACACGCCTTTCTGAAGTTTGCCTGCAGATTCCTCCTCTTAGCATCTTACTTGACAAGAAATTTATTTTAGATGACAATACATTCTTATCCTTACAGGTACATGGGGGCAAAGAGGGGAAGGAGTCAGGGTATCTAGAGTGCCACCTGCAGGCTGGGAGCTAGAACTGAGGTTGAATGGTTAGCCTGCTTAGGCAAAACGCAGCAGGGCCTAGGAGAACCATGATGATCCATAACTGAAATCAATAAAAAGCTTCCTCTTCCATTGGCTTTCATATAAGCCATCTTTTATCAAACAAGATTTAAAGGATGTTTGAATTTTTAGACAAAATACCACGAGTAAACCTAAGGAAAGCTATGCTTGGTTACAGACACTATTCATTTACTCCTGTACTCTTACTCTGGTAAGTCTGATGGTCCAGAAAGACACAGAAGAAAACCTGAGTCAGAAAAACATATGATAGTCTACCTAAAGGAAACCACCCGCTACTTCTGGTAACTGCACGTGAACATTAAGACTCTTGACACAGTCCTCATGAAGCAGCCTTGCCCTACTGAAGCTCACAACTGCGACTATCCAGTAAGCCTGTCTAACATTTGGCCTTATGCTGAAGGCACAGGAAGAAACGGTATATATGATCCTCAACTTCAGTTCTTCTAAACGTTCACTTTACATGTGGTTCATGTGATTCTGTAAAACATGTAATAATGGTAATCATATCATCAGAAGTACAAGCATAATAAATAATTAACTTTGTTCTCAATGTTCCAGTTGACCTTTTATCGGAATTCTGAACATTTACAGATTTCCCACAATTAATTTAGAGCTTCAGCTTACAGACTCCAAAAATCACTAAACAGTAAAAACATGTCACCAACTCTGATGTCAAAAAGGTTCTGGAAGAGGAACAAGCCACATTTTCAGCTTTACCATCATTACAAAACACATTCTCAAACAGTTTAAACCAAATTTAGATGGCGTTACTGTGGCACCATCTTTCCCTTGTGCAATCCCAGTCACTCGCATATATCACTCATGGCATTCATTGATCTAACTTAATAGAAGCTTAGGAGAGCTAAACTCCTTAATTGATTTTTTAAAATACGTGTGGAGATACACATTTATATATGCATACACAGATATACATGTCTCTGTGTGTGTGTAGAGATACAGATAAATAAAAATACATAAAAACAATGGCTTAGCCAAAATACTGATGGCTCAATGCAAGTGTAAAGAAGAAAGATGCAAGCCAGAAAACACTGGTGAGGAAGCAGGACTGTAGAAACATTGACTCTAGTCCAAAAGCAGTCATAGGAAAGTACAGGAAGTAGGGATTTATTAAAAATGCAATTACATACAGGTTCATTCACCCCTTATATATAGGTTAGTATCAACTCTCTATCTGCCTTTGCAGTGGGTAATAAGTTGTCATTTTCATACAGTCATGCCTAGAAAACACAGTTTGCTGTACAAAGTTTCCACTTCAATTTTGGATTGAACTTCACACTTCAGTAAACAGAGGCAGTATGTTCATCAGAACCACCTCTGTTCCTCAACTGCAACACATGATCTCGTAAACAGAGTGCTTTGAGAGTTTCTGAGAGCATCTGTTGCAACTGAGGAAGTAGGGTTGTTCGCTTTCATCTGTCCAATCCATTAGTAAAAGAAACTAATTTTGAAAGCCTGAAATATCCAGGATCAGATTTTTCTGCATTAGGGTATGAAACCTAAGTTAACTGCTCTTCAAAATCCTAACATGTAATAACTACAAGAGTTTGCCTAATTTGGGCTACTTGATAACTCGGTGTTTTTGAATTTCAAATTTAAACAGAAGTTACCAACCTAATGTCTTCGGGAACTTTGACAATTTTACTCACCATCTGCATACTGTAGTTGATGTATCATTTATTAGATCAGCTACTAGTAAAATGTTATTTTGATAAACTGTTTTAGCACTTTCAATGCAATTATATTTAAACATTTAAACCACTAGCTTTTAATTTCTCTCCAAAGAAACATCAATAAAAATCATAGCAATTACAACATGCTGGGGTTTATTATCTTAAGACATTTATTTTTACTCTTTACATCATTCCAGAAAAGATATCTGAATAAAAGCATGTTGACATAAATAGTTAATATCTATTTAACATTTTCATGTTAAATTAAACTGCTGAGAATATGCTTCTCAATAACTAACCAAAAAATAAGGTTGTAGCTAACAGGCAAAAATTAAGTAATCACCTCAATTAAAAAAAAAAATCCCATTAGAGAAGTTGTGAAAAAGCAAGATTTTTGTGAAACTGGAATTACAAAACCAAGACACTATGAAGGACTCAGAACTTCTACTTCTTTGGACTGACAAGCAGTTACTAAAAATAGCATGTTAATAAAAAAAGGTGATATATGGCTCTAAAGAACCACCTTAGTGAAGATAAGTCAAACAAACTGGTGTTATGCAACAATACTGTGCTAAAGCAACTCTGGAGGGATCTCAACCTCAAAAGTGCATTGCAAGCATACATGAGTCAAAGGAGATTATAAACCTTTTCCTGGATCTCACACCTCAGGCCAGAAGAAAGCCTCCTAAGGAGAATTCCAGAGACAATGAAGCCAGACATGGTATCCGAAGGGTAGCTCTAAGGGTGTTGTGATCCAGGTCCTGATACCACACAGCCTGCATAAGAGTCAGGGAACAGATCCATCATGAAGAAAGATTATGCTAGAGATGGTAATTGCATTGCAGAACCCATGTTTTTGTAATCAACCAGCATTCATACTGAAGAACAAAATAGTTCAAGGTTCAATGTGAACTTCTCCACATGCAGCACTACACATTTCTGGAGAGGGGGTGTGTGGTTCAGCCAATTACAAACTTATTAGTCAGCAGTTTGAAAGGTTTTAGACTAGCTTCTGAAGAAAATTATAATTAAAAACAGAGACAAATGGAAAAGAGATCAATCACAGCATGGGAAATTTTACTGAAGTTGGCTGGTGCTATTTTGGGGATTTTCTGGACAAAGGAACTGCACTATATTTAACCTGAAGCATACTTCTGTGGGGTGCTAGACAAGATAATTCCAACAACAAGATCAATACAAGACTCTAAGGTGCAAAAGAACTGGCTACAGAAGGAGCAAAGCTGGACTCTTATTAGAATGGGAACTATGGGAACAAGTTTCTAACAATGCTCCTGAATGACTGATTCTGGGAATGACCTAATTGGACACATGAAGTAACCGCACATGCACACTAAATAGCATGCTGATGAATTCTGACAACAAATGTAAGGATGCAGACGGATGAATTCATTTCAAGACATAGCTAACAGTAAATTACCAAGTTTTAAAATACAAAATACAGTTTCTTGCATAGTGTAAATTAATACCAAAGTGCATAATGAGAAATTAGCTGAAAACAGAAGACTGGATGCACAGGTCAACTATCAGAGCACTACAATATGTCAAATATGACAGATTTGCTTTATTCACAGCTGCTAAGGTATATGAGGTGAGATATATCAAGCAGATATTAACGGTGGTGGGATCTCATTTGGAAGAAGAAATACAGATCTAGTAAAATATTTTCAATAAAAAACAAATCAAAATTGGATCAAGGGCAGAGAAGGATAATGAGAATTACTGGTAAGTACTTTATGAGAAGAAACTGAGACTCTGGGTTGGTTTGTCAAGCAAAACAAAGCTAAGGGGAAATACAATGGTTTTCTAGTAAACATTGGTGGTATTCTGCAGCAAATAATAAGGACAAGGCTGTTAAAAGAACAGGTATTACCTGATCTAAGTAAAGTTAACTGGGAATTCCCACCATATTCCTATAAATATTCCTACTAAGGCTCTGGAATAGTTTTATCCACACTGGCTGTGCTGGAGAAAAGATTGCGATTTCAAGAGAGAACCCTGGTAAGTTTTTAGAAACTCATTATCTAACAATTTTTCATTATAATAGAGGGCTAGACTCAATGACACAAGAAGTCTTCTCCAGTTCTGTGCTCCTAAACAGTTCATCTAATACCGGGTATATTTTACCTGGAATTACCTGTTCAATCTACGAAACAGAAGCAAACAAGAACAAACTACTGGCAAAACCCTAAAAGAAAGTCACACAACTTCTCAACATAGTTAAAAAAGTTAAAATGATCAAGTTTCAACTGCTACAGGTGCAAAATTTGAGCTGTCCCCTGCTAAGGCTGCACTGATACGGCAATAAATCAACATAATCTAGAGTGCCAGTATTACATTTAACACATACGTAGGTAGATGAGTACCTTCAGCTTTACCTTTTATTTTCACCTGGATATAACAAGGTTCAGCCAATAAGCATTTGCCAGATACAGGTTTTTCAGCTGTTAGAGCCTTAACATCAACTGAAACTAGCTACCAGCCCTTTCCCAGAAAAGGTGGCAAGCCAGGTGCAAGTATCTTAAAGACACTGGAAATAGTATTTGCTTTTTGGCTTTAACAACAAAACACAAAACATCCAAACACAATATCTAACAGACTGATACTGAGAACATTTACTCACTTGTACGCTACTCTCAGAAGACAGAAAGTGCTTCCTAATCTCAACATTGCTGCTTCTTCTAAGACAGTATTCAGTACGTTTATCTTATTCCTTAAAAAGGCCAAAAAAAAGCTTCCATCTACAATGACAGCTCCTAATTCTACTAGGAGGATTTCTTTTTAAAAAAAAAGCACAAGAACTCAACAGAATCTGGATTCTCAAGACTGGCCTACATTAACATTTTTAGGAGCATAGCTGCTACCATCAAGGTAGAGAGATACGAATATACACCAGGGTTAACATACCTATGGCAATAAAAATGCTCGTATAGATGTCATATTGTCAGCAGAAGCGTTCGAGTCTCCTTCGCCTCTATTATTTAGGAAGAAGAAATTATGCCAGCAGAAAAAAAAAAGAATGTATTTTCCCCTAATGTTTTATCTCCACTAGGATGGGCAATCAACACGCTGTCTAGTGAGTGAAGGCATCCTTCACTACTTGGCTTGAGTCCCAGAATCAGTTCTACACCTACCATGACAGCTGGGCATGACTTCAGTCATCATCTATTAAACTCCTGGACAGTCCTATATTTACATAATACTTAACCATTATAAACTAAAAATGCCACCACAAAAATGGCTAGAGATAGAAAAAGATGTTACAGAACTTAGCTCACACTTAGTTTAAAAGATGACCTCATTTATAGCTACTCCTTGGAAACACAACCAGATTGCCATTTCCTGATGCCCTGTCTCCAAGTGAAGCTCATTGAGGGGAACTGTCAAAATCACACATTGGTGAAGACAGTTTTAGCTAGGACATTTCAGTAGACAATATTTTAAGTTAAATTCTTTTACATAAATTATTTGTAATTATATTAACCTATGCATGACAAATCTCACCAATATGGAAAGCTGCACATGAATGAACCCAGTTTCTAAAGATGAAGATCAAAGTATCTTACGATTTCATACAAATAACATTTTAGCCAGAGTATTTTATGAAATCAATGTATTTTGAAGTGCCAGGCACATTATCAAAGCCAGTAAACAGTTTAAGAAAAAAAACCAACACAAACAAAACCCCCAAACTCACTAATGGAGTATCTAAAAGAGCTACATGACAAGCTCTAAGAGTGAAATAGCCAAGCTTAACTTTGACATTTAAATTGCTCCAGAAAGAATGCTGATCCCTAGGAAAATGACATGGTGTAATTTACTTCTCAGACTTCAGCTCTTCTCATCCTCCTCACTGAAAGAGGTGGCATATAATAAGAATTCACAGTCTGAACCTCTTTCTAGATTTTATAAATCTGAGTGGTATCTCCAGGTAAAGGCAACTGGATCAGCAATTTCTACAAAAACAAAGATAAAAGCTGTATCTGTTTCTTGGAAAATAACCACATAAATACTCTAATTAGGTTGAGAAACCTGGGCTCAATCCCCTTTCTCAGTTTGTTTCTAACATGATGTCCAAATTAATAAATATTAGACTGGAACAAGAAGGTTACTTGAATGGATTCATTGTACAGTCAGAAATGTAGAATCGGCCACAGAAAATGCAGCTTTACAATATCGTGCAAAATCAGATAATATTTCCCTGACGTTCTAGATGATGAATACAGCTTAAAACTGCTGGACTCAGTGCTGTTTGTTACATTTGCTCCAAGTCTGTTTTCTGGGCTAAGGGACTTACACATAGTTTCCTTAGCCTGATGATCCCATACAGACTAGTGTGAAAGAGAAATACCAAGCTGCTTTTATCAGCCAAGATGGAGGAACCAAATTTGGATACTTACACACCTTTGTGAATACGTGGCTTCTTTATCCAGAACTTAAAGAACTCAAACACCAGATTTTTTTTCTGTTAAAGTTACACCAGCACAGATTCCTGTATCAAATTATAGCTGTTCACTAAGTAAACCCAACACCATGATGGAAGCATACAAAACACTATTTCAACTGAAATAAAACCCTATCATCATATCAAGGAGATCTATGGTTGTTGATTTCTTCATGAAGTGCTTGGGAGCTCTCTCAAACACACCTACCCAAAACTAGACAACACAAGCTACCTTCAGACCTACCGCCACCCCTCATTTCATTATAGTCCCCATCTCCAGTTTCGGAGAAAGGAAGTTGCAGCCAAACACTAATTAGGGATGGCCTCTGCTCGTTTGCTTTTTCTTTAAATTGGATCAGTCTGGGCTGTTCCCAGAGAGATTAATGTTTGAGTGATTCCCTGATTCCCAGAGGGATTAAGGGATGTTTTCAAGTTCCTCAATTTTTCACAAAACATGCCCAGAAAAGAGTATACATGGGGAAGACAACAGGTCATTCAACGGTTATGCACAGACACACATACACCCAGTAAAATTTAGTATTGGTACTCAGTGTTCTTGCTTGTAGAAAAAAAATCAAAAAAAGACTTCCCCATGGAAAGAAGAGTGTAAAGATGATGAAACCCAAGGAATTATGAGGAGGCAGAGAGTTGTAAGCCTCTACAGTTTTCATTTATTCATATATCCTATAGTTGAAGACGAAAGAACCAGTGAGCAAAAGGAAATCAGTTTTCTCATTATTAGAACACAATAAAAAGCTACGTGAAAACTTCTGTTATTTCTGGTTCTCATTGTCTCAACAATTAAATAGCTGAATAATAAAATGTAAGGCAGAGAAAAGCAAGTGTGAGATTTTAAAGATTTTTCTAAATAAATTATTTCAGATTTAAAGGTATTTGAGCATGCTGAAGGACTAGAAATCTAGTCTTGCATGGCATTCAGCACCACTGTTCCAATGACCAGGGTGCTGACGTGAACTCTCTCATAAACAAGATACTAGTATCACAATTATTACAACTTGATATATTTGCTATCATATCTCACACATTGATTTTCTTTTCTGTCTGAATTCTTTGCCCATTACACCAATATTTTATACACAGATTATAAGACTTCATAAAAAAAGTCTCCTACATGCAAGTATTTTAGAAGCATATGTGGTCTTCATGCATAATATACATCAGTATGATTTTTTTTTAAGAAACTATATTGAAAGCAACAAAGCTTAGAAGCCCTATCAAATTGACACCCTATGCAGCAAACTAGTGGTTAAGTGTCCAATTTAATCTTTGAAATTAACTTACCTGTTGATCAGTTGATGTACGTTGCTGAACTGCATCATGGCTCACAGAGCCTTTTTTGACTTGTATCCTGCCAGGTGGAGGAGGAATCACACCTGAATATGAAGCTGGGTTATCAGCATCTGAAGAATACAAGGCTGTGTGTCTTGATTCTTGTTCATTCTTTGACACAACAAATCTGGGAAGAGGGAGGTCCTTTACTGTTAAAAAAAAACCACAGCAGGCCGTTTACTATACAGAAGTGTGATGCTTAAAAATAAAAATGCGGTTCTATTTTGTAGTTAAAATTTCACACGCACCTCAATTACTTAAACACTGAGATTGCTGCTATAGTCAAGCCAACACCTGCCAGTTAGAAAAAAGCAAATACCCTTTCTGCATTATACTTCATGATTCCGCTACCCAAGTTTTGGTCTACAAGGGGAACTTCATATAGCTCCATAACAGTTTTGCACTACTAAATGCAGTAGTAATCAGATAATCTCAATTTAGCTCATTTTTTTAGTTTTGACAACATTTAATTATTGAAGTGCGATTTTCAAAATTTATCTACCATTTCTAGCACATATATAAAAGTAGTCCTCATGCAGAATGGTTCATCAGCAAAACAAATGCTAAAATACTGCAGTATATTCCACATCATCTTTTAGTGAGCTGATGTCATGTTTGTATTTACAACAGCCTATTTGCAAAAATTGCAACTATTGCTTAAACATATATGTGTGCACATTTCTACAATAGAAGCTAAATGAGCTGTTTTACTGGGACACAGCTGGGAACATCCCAGTATCACCTTACTTTGTTACAAACAGCTATAAAGCAAGGCTTCTACAAATGGCAGGAGATCCTTAGCTTTATGTGCCATGGTTCAGAGTAGTCTGATATAAAAATGAGGCTAAGTAAGTCTCCAATTTTTCACTGAAGGATTTCTGTCATTTTTCTGAATCCCAACCAAAACTTTCTCACTGGTCCACTGTAAGTAAAAATAAATTGCGAATTTGCTGTACAGCTTACTTGGAAATTATTTTTCCAAAACAAAAAATTTGCAAATACATGGCTCAAAATTATTTCCTCTTGCTGACTGCTCACATTGATTACTTCTGGTATTGAAAATGAGTTAGTGGTATTACCAACTCTACTAAAATGAGAGCTGAAACTGCAAACAGCTTATTACATAAAATTAAACATTAAAGTGATTCATATTTGAAAAGTGTCATTTGAATCCATAGTATTCAACGACTATGTATCCAGTATTAAAGAGCAATGCTCCAGTAAGAACATAAATTCTTCATTTAAGCTTCTGTCACTAAGCAAAATTCAACATGCCAAAAAGCTTTCATCACAGGGAAGGAGCATGCAACACAGCCTCTTTGCTAAATTTGTGGTTAACCATCACGTAGAAACACTGTTAAAGCAATTCCCAACGCCTTCCTTGTTCCTAGATGCCAATTTTCACATTAGCATGGTACCCCATGTTGCACTAGGAAAGTTATTCACATAGCTAAACAGTGAACTACAGCCAGTCAAAAAATGAAAAAGTCATTGCACACAAGTGAAAATTTGTACGCATGCACGCAGGGGATAATACAGACACTGGAACATCCAGCTGACAGAGGGGAAGCTTGTGCGACGGGTTGTTCCAACATGAGGCTTTAGCATGAGATACCTAGAACTATTTTACAAAATAGAGGGCACAGAAGGAACACAAAATACTCCATCACCTCCTTTAAAAACAGGACTAGATAAATATAGGTTTGTTTTGCTGTAACGAGTTTCTACACGACCAATTGAAATCTGCCATTTTTACTGCTCTCCTCTCTTTTCCCCATAACAGCAGAAAAAACCCATTATAACACTCAACATTTGTTACCATTCAGAAACCCCTCAATCATAAATGCAAAAGCTGTTATGAATGTAACTACATCTTAATACTGAATAAATTAGAAAGTTCTCTGTACTTTTTATGTCCACATCCTTGTTAACATTTTCTTCCATCAAAAACTGTATCCATATACACTTACAAAATAAACAGCACTTTGAAAGAGACACTCTCATGAATTCCTTAATTTTTAGCTTCCTGGAAGGAAAATTTTCTGGGACAGCAAAAGAACAACATAGAGGCTTGTAGTGTAGTAACTAAAGCCAGTATTTTTACTACACTGTACAACTGAGTAATCAAAAAAGTACTTGGTTAACTAAGAATCAGTTGGATGACACTTGTGTTGAATGGACTTAGTAAGCAAAATTTGACTGTAGTCTCCACTCAGCAACCCCCACAAAGCAACCTTCCTGCCTACTGAAGAGACACGCAGTGAACCAAAGAGCAAAAAAAACAAGAGAAGGGGAGAGAAAATACCAAGACAAAAGAGTGAACAACATTAAGAAAATCATTAAGACATGCATAGAATGCAGAGCTAAAAAGCAGGTATCCTAAA